TGCCTTTCCGCGGGTATGCGGTTCCCACCCTGGTGGTATCCACCCAGGGGGTGCCTTGGTACACTTGAAGAAGGGGTGGCCAGGCTCCTTGCAGTACCAACACACGAGAGATGAGCGACTTGCATCTCCATCCTTGCCATGCGTTTTCTCCCCAATTGACCCCTCCTTCCCGTTATTGCCCTTTGCAGTTGGAGAAGGTGAGCAGTCTCCACGTGCTTGTCCAACCATGCGAGGTGGACGCCGGTCACGGTTATCCTTTGATATGAGATCGTGATATCTCTGCTCCCGAATCATCATCCGCTGCAAAGTGAAGGTGTCCGTCACGTTGTGCAGCATTGCCGAGTGCCTCATCTCCTCCCAATGTGCCGGTAGTCCGGTGAGCAGATTTAAGGTGAATGTGTCCTCATCCACCATCTTTCCCGCCAACGCCAACTTGTCTCGAATCGCCGTTGCGCGGTTCACATACTCCTCCACCCTCTCTTGATTCCCCATTTTCAGGTTGTCCAACTGCTTCATGAGAGAGACCTTCGCCACCGAATCTTTGGCCTGGTAAGTGTCCATCAAATACTCCCATGCTTCATAAGCCGGGCTGTAGGATTCCTGGAACATGTCTAGCTGTAGTTGAATCGTTGCGCTCACGCTGTGCAATAGGACCCAAAAGGCGAGTGCCGCACGCTGGGAGTAATCCGCCTGTAGCATTTCCAGCCGCCCCATAGCGTCGTCAATGTCACCATCTCCCATGGTAACCGGATACTGCAGGGTCACAAAGAACTCCCACAGATTCGTGACGCGGGCGTTCATACGAAACCGTAGTGCCCATTCGCGGAAATTTGAGCCGTCAAACGGAGTGGTGGTGAATGCCTTGTCCACCGTTGCTCCCACCATTTTGCGTGACAGTCGTTCCTTGTCTTCGTCCGTATATTCACGTGGTGCGGGGTCGAAGAGAGTAGGCATGGTTGACGGTCGAGGTAGCTGTACCGTGCGCCGCATATCTCCATTCTGTCCACCAAGTTGACGTTCCAGCACTTCCACTTGATCCCGTCGCATGACACCATTTGACTGCATTCCGTATCCCATCCGCCCCATGCTGTCCACAGAGTGTGCGCTGATTGGTGGACGATGTGCACGTGGAGGGATGATGTTGTCGCCATGAAGGTGAGACCTGGGCATGGGAAGAACTCCAATGGGATGGGAGTTGGTCGCAAGTCGTCGTAGTGGGGGAGCACCAATAGTGTAGGAGGCGAATCCCACACCTTCCACGCCCACTTCACCACTTCTGTCACCCTGATGCCCAATCTGTCCACTTCTCATCCCACCAAACACTGCACTCCGATACTCATCATTCCTCCTCCGTGCTTCCCTTTGCATGGATGATTGAGGTGCGGAATTGGCGATCTCCTCTCCTTGGACGGATGCATCCCTCCATTGGGATGACTCTCCTCCTTGAGGTATGCCTATTTCCCCTTCACCATCAATTCCTGCATGAACATTTGCACGAGTTTGGTTAGTACGTGGAGTGCTTGAATGAGATTGTTCATGGGTGGACGGATTGCTGAACTCATGAGAGATTTTTGCTCTTGGCTGGATTGTCATTCCGAACTTGTCCCTTAACGAAGCTTGGAGAGTTGGTGGTGCCCTTGCAATCATGCTTTCCAGGTGCTCATGCTGAGCCATGATGGCTTCTTCAAAAGCCGCATATCCAGGATCCACTTCGCCATCGAAGTGCGCCATGACCTTGACAAAACCGTCCACCAAGTGTGCGGTAAACGCGCAGTTGTAACCAACAGCGAACACCAGGTGTACGAAAGCGTAGACCAGGTGTGCGGTACTCCGACTGTATGCAGGTACCTATCCAAACTGTATGCCAGTAAATTCCTGAACCAGTTTTGGCAGCATGCCCCCTAGAGTAGCTCTGATACCATGCTAGAAAGGCATAGTGCCAGCGTAGCGGAAACGTGTTTGTAGAAAAGAACAAGATAGAAATCTTGCATTGATCATTGAAAAGTAGAATGATGACACAATGTGTACTCAATGATTTGACACAGCAGGGTATATATGCATCCAGCTACCCCTCCAGAATGACCCATTCACACCAATAATGGTGTACCAATAATTGTACCCTCTACCCTCCAATAATGCTGACCTCCAATAATTCTGGCCCCTACAATAATTGTAGGACCTGGAAGCTTATAAAGAGGACTACACTAAAACCAAACAGCACACTGGTATACAGTATTCGTTATACTGTATTCGGATTTCCAACACTTAGTTCATTCACTTCTCGTTCTATTCTTCACATCTTCAACTTCCCTGAGCTGGCTTTTTGTGACGTCCCGTCAATCAGAGCTGTAATAAGGAAAACATCTTCGGCCTCGAAACCTTCATGAGGGAAACTTTAAATGGAAGATTCTTGATGAAACCCCGACGTGCTTTGCCATTACGAAAATGCTCCAGTCCGTTTCTTTCGTTGAGACTTGCGATGCTGTTCTCGTCTTGATTTATGTTGAATGGTAGAAAAGGAAGATAGTCTGAATAGATTTGAGTTGGTAATTATCTTGCACTTGAACTTGCAGGCTTGCATTGCATGAGTATCGATATTTTTCTGCCCTCTTGGACGTAGCGCTGGAACCGTCTTTAATTCGTAAGGACGAACGGAGCAATGTCTTGATAAACGTGTGCAGTTCAGTGACTGAATGAAAGGATCACGCAGGAAAAAACTTGACGACCCAATGCTCTCTGCGTGAGCACAATGTTGGTGTCTTGATAAGTTTTCCGATGCGTGGATTCCATAAAGAGATTCAGATCCTGAAACTGACAATGTTTTGGTTGACATTGTTAGCTACGAAAGTCCCTAACAAGAGTGACGGCGCCTAGCCATGGCGTAGAGAGCAGATCGAAGTGAAGAGAGGGGGGATCGTAGATTGATGAGGGGAGACCTCCGGGGAGTTCCAGTGACCTTTGAGTACTCTATGACTAAACTGCTAAAATGCTAGGTACAAGCCATAGTTTCACAAGTGTGAGAAGGGGTGATGGTGTGCGTCAAATCAGATGTGTTACGCTGCACAACGGTTCGTCTACACAATGCAGTGGTTGGCACTTGAGCTGCAAGAGTCTATCAACTTCTGACAACATCCGCGACCTTGGGAACATGGTGGACTTGTTGCTTTTCCCCAAATATATTTTTTTGCCTTGGTTCTCTTCACAACCTTTCCACAAAGCTATCCTAGAGTTTTGTGAACCTATTAAGGTTAAGAGAACCGAGGCACAAACTTCAGTTGTGTTCCTATTAACGAACCTATTTTCTGCTGTGGTTCGAGACTGTGGGTTCGTCTGTCGCACACCAAGTTTGCGCATCCCCTGCGCTTGCGCGACTGCAATAATTCATATTGCATGGGAGGGAGTGGGCAAATCTGAGCTGTAAGAAAAGCAATAATTCACACCGCTGAGAGATGGCAGATGTGTGCCGAACGATTGATAATAATTCACATCGCTGCGACGAGCGGAACTCCGACCTCCCTCCCCCTGAACATTCGGCGAGATCGCAGATCCCGCATTACCCCAATAATTCGTTTGTTCAGCTGCGAGCTCCAGTCCTGTTGCTTCACTCAGGCTCCACAGTCGTTCACGAGCCAGAGCGACACTACAGGCGACTGCAGTCGCTCAGGCGACCCTGCAGGCGACTGTTGATTCAGTCGCCATGCTTTCTAGCATGCGCTTGTCACTCGCAGAACCCCCAATTCCCAAACGCGATTCGAAAGATCGCGTTCCCAGTAGCGCCTCGAGCTGTACATTCATTAGCCTCAGGAAATGGGCGAGAGTCCAATCCAAATCAAACTCTGCGTATATATGGATGGGGGCACCACCAGAGCAACAATAGAATCTCTCTGCTGCTTCCGTTCCATTTTCTCGTCCCGTATGATAGCAAAGCCAGCAGCATTCAGCAAACCATAGTACCTGTACGTATTGAGCTGCGCCTTTTCAGCGCCTTGTACCAGCAAAAGAAAGAGTCATCTCTCCTGAAATTGCGCTACGCATTTCGCGTACTCACGCGTGCGATGTGAGAGTCTCCTCTGCAAAAAAATTGCGCCCCGAACTTTGTTTGCAACGATCGTTGCGAGTCACTCTCAGTGCGCCGCCCACCACAGTAGCAGCGACGTGCGCCAAACGTACCAGCAGAAGAAAGAGACATCTCACCGCCCACCAGAGTGGCAGCAGCGCGTTTTGAGGCGCCACAGTGGCAGCAGCAGCGCCCTGACATTGCGTGACTCACGCGTGCGACGTGCGAGTGTGGTTGCAAGGCACTCTGAGAGCGTGCCGTACACCACAGTGGCAGCGACGTGCTGCGCAAGAAAATACTGCACCTGACGTCACGTCAGCGTGACCCTACCTGACGTGGCAGCTTGACCCTCCTGACGTGGCAGCTTGACCCCACCTGACGTGGCAGCTTGACCGCATGGCTGCCTCTCCTCCCGCGCTGCTTCCGCTCCTCGTCCTCGCCGTCATCTGCGGTGAGTCGCTTCTCTCTCCTTGTCGTTCCCAAGCGGCTTGTACTCATAAGCGGCTCATATCTCTGTGACGTTTCTACTTTTTTTCACAAGCTATGTGTAAGACCTCCCGCTAGACCGTCGGGCCCAACTTGGGGGGCTCTTACAAGCGCATCGAATGGCTTGTCGACCGTTGGTGCAAGCACACCGCTGGATAGGACGCCGCTGGATAGTACTCCGATGGATAGACACCACATGTACCGTGCTGACGGTACTCTAGATACAAAAAGCGCCACCGTGACGGCTCCGAGCCTTCTTCAAGTTGATCCGCCTATTCTGGATACAAAAAGCAGAGTCTGCTTGATCTGCCACATCTTGATCTAATGAGGCCCATTCCTGTTCACTACATCTGAGAAGAACGCACTCTCTGCCCCATTCCGCCTCTGTCCCCTCTGCCTCCCTCTCCTCCTCTCAACACGCTCCTCCCCTCTGCTCTCAGCGGTCGCCACGGCGCACATGACGGCACGCGAACGCGGGAATCCCCTCAACGCGGGCGTGCGAGTGCGCGAAGCAAGCGAGGTTGCAAGCGAGGCTGCGACAGCCAGAATCCTCAAAAACGAGATCTCCGCGGGAAGCGGGAATGAGAACATGGGCGTGGGGGTGGGGGTGGATGTGGGTGATGGGGGCGGCGGGGGTCGGGCGGTGGACGCAAGTGTCCACGTGGCAACGCAGATCAAGGTGTCGGGCGTGAGCGTCCCCGTCAGCTTCGACGCCCTCCGCTGCTTCAGCCTTCCCCGGGCGGCGCGCAAGGCGGCGGGAGACGTGCAGGTGTGGTGGCACGGGCTCACGGGCGGCGGCACGGGCGGCGGCAGCAAGAGCGGCGGTGGTTCGCGTGGGAAGGGTGGAGGTGCGGCGTGCAAGCAGCTGCGGTTCTTTGCCAACCCGGCCTGCAAGGGCAAGGCGCTGGATGAGGTGCTGCAGCCGCAGTTTGCTGCTCTAAGGAGATTCTTCCACGTGCCCAGGTGGGTCCTGGGTACAGGGCAGGTGGAAATGGGGGCGGGGGAATGAGTTTCCCCACCTCATTCGTGGGGAGTTACCAATGATGCCTCAGTCGTGCGCCACATTCTTGACCCACAGTCGTGCTTCGGGTTGTGCCGCCCTAATGTAATGTCCCATGTCTCTCCTGAATGTGCTTCTGACATCCCTGCGTGCAGCTCAAAGAAGGTTGCCCGATGGACTTCCGTCTCCTGCAAGTGTGGTGCGTGCCTTGCCTCCCTGCCTTCCTGCTTCCCTGCCTCCTTGCCTCCTTGCCTCATTGCCCTGCCTCGTTGCTTTCCACGCATTGCCTGATTCTCCTCGCCGCACATTGTCGTACCCCTGTGTTGGTCTTACCCGCCGCGTTGCACACATCTCACCGCACGTGTCTCTGTGCTACCCACGTGTCTCTGTGCTACCCACGTGTCTCTGTAGGCTACCCACGTGGCTCTCTTCTCATCTCACCCCATGCTGCCAGAAATCACCTGCCAGCACGCCACGTGCATGCCAACGACTGACAGCAAGGGCGTCACGTGTCTCTGTGCTACCCATGACTCTCTTATCCCGTGCTGGCTCCCCTCCCATTGCAAAAATCACCTGCCAGCACGCCACGTGTCCAGCCAACTCCACGTGCATGCCAACGACTGACAGCAAGGGCGTCACCTGTCAATGCAACCAGGGATTTACTGCCGTCAATGGCACCTGCCAAGGTACGATGCTTGAGGTATCCGATTCCACCCATGATTCTTACATTACCTTGGTCTTTAAACCTCGTCTTCATTTCCTTTCTCCGTATTTCTTTTTTCCGTGCAGACTTGTGCGACGCGGTGAAGTGTGGGCCTGGAGGCAACTGTGCGAAGGATGCAAACGGAAAGCCATCCTGTAGTTGCAACACGGGCTTGAAGCCGTCGAATGACACGCTCTCTTGCGTTGGTGAGTAGGAGGATAGCAACACAGTGCATCAGCCTTGCGTTCCAAACCCAGTTCTTGCAACGCGGGCTTTAAGCCATCAAATGTCTCCCATTCTTGCATCGGTGAGTAGGAGGAGAGCAACAAGTGCATCGGTGCCTTTATTGCATTTCAAACCCAGTTGAAACTTGGCCTCCTCTCTCAACTTTCTTGTGAGTGAGGGTGACGGATTGCCCGCATATTCAACTCAGTGTCCCTTAGGATTGAATTTCAAGATCACAATCTTATGGTTTTCTGATATGATAAATCTTTCCACATTCCCGGTTCCCCTTTTCCTTGCAGACTTGTGTGACGCGGTGAAGTGTGGCCCTGGCGGCAACTGCACAAAGGATGCGAACGGGAATCCATTCTGTAGTTGCAACACGGGCTTTAAGCCGTCAGATGATTCGCTCTCTTGCATTGGTGAGTTGAGTAGAGCCACACTGCCTCTCCTGCTCTCTTCACTCACCTGCGCATGCAACCACGGCTTAGCTACCGCCAATAGTACCTGCCTAGGTGTGCTGCTACATTGTGGCATTGTGGCTATTTGGTTTTTGGTGGGAAAGAATCCTGATAGCAATTATTACAGGGTTGTTACAGGAGAGTGAGAGTTGCACTGCCGATTGCACTTATTCTCTGTCATCCGATCCAACCCGACCCATGATTTGGCACTCAAGTTGCATCACTACCTTATCCATTTGTGGTACACCCCATGGTTGTCAAAGCTCATCGCCGTATCCCTTTTTCCATATCCTTTTCTATGCCGAGTCGTGTGATGCGGTGGTCACGCATGGCAGAAACTGCACGAAGGATGCGTTTCAATCTAGTCCTTGAAGCCTGGCCTCTACTCAACTCTTTTTTTTTCTGGCAGATTTGTGTGATGCAGTGAGATGTGGGCCGGGCGGCAGTTGCACGAAGGATGCGAACGGAAAGCCATTCTGTAGCTGCAACACGGGCTTTGTGCCATCTTCTGATGCGCTCTCTTGCACTGGTGAGTTGAAGAAGTGCAACCCAGAGACTTCACCTCCACTCGACTCACTTGTCGTTTCGATCCCAGCCCTTGAAACTTCACCTCCACTCGACTCTCTTTGCAAGAGTTACTGAATTGTGGGCATCTTCAATTTTGTGACCCTTGATTTGTCAATGCCTCATATTCTAGTTTATGAAGTAATAATTTCTTTCCACTTGTCTGGGTCTTGTTTTCTGCAGACAACTGTGCTGCAGTGAATTGTGGGCCTGGTGGCAACTGCACGAGGGATGCGAACGGAAAGCCATCTTGCAGTTGCAACACGGGCTTTAAGCCGTCTTCTGACACACTCTCTTGCATTGGTGAGTAGAGAAAGTGCAACACAAAGATCGCGCCTGCCGTTTCAATCCCAACCCTTGAAACTTGGCCTCCTCTCAACTTCCTTTGCAAGAGTTGCTGAATAGCATGCATATTCAACTTGGTGATACTTGTTTCTCAATATCCCAATATTCTAGTCTCTTGACCCAACCCAGTGACCCTTGATTGCCAAGGTCCAAACCCGAATCTCTAATCTTGTGATAACTTCATTCCACTCTCCTGGTTCCCTTCTCCTTGCAGACTTGTGTGACGCGGTGAAATGTGGCCCTGGCGGCAACTGTGTGAAGGATGCAAACGGAAAACCATCCTGTAGTTGCAATTCGGGCTTTAAGTCGTCTTCTGACGGGCTCTCTTGCATTGGTGAGTTGGAGGAGAGCAACAGAGAGGCATGCCTTGCTTGTGTTTCGAACTTGTGTTCAAACAGAATCCTTAAAACTTGGCCTCCCTTAAACCCTCTTTGTACATGCTACTAAACTGCATGCATATTCAACTCTGTGACCCTTAACTGTCAATATCATAATATTTGAATCTCTTGACGTGATGATTTCCTTCCAATCTCCTGCTTCCCTCTACCTTGCAGACTTGTGTGATGCGGTGAATTGTGGCCCTGGCGGCAACTGCACGAGGGATGCGAACGGAAAGCCATCCTGTAGCTGCAACTCGGGCTTTAAGCCGTCTTCTGACCGGCTCTCTTGCATTGGTGAGTTGAAGGAGGGCAATGGAGAAGGCATGTCTTGCTTGTGTTCTAAACCAAATCCTTGGCTTTCCTTCAACCCTGTTTGTACAAGCTATTGATGTGCATGCATATCCAACTCTGTGACCCTTGATTGTCAATATCTCAATATTTGAATCTCCTGACGTGTTAATTTCCTTCCACTCTCTTGGTTCCCTTTCCTTGCAGACTTGTGTGATGCGGTGAATTGTGGCCCTGGCGGCAACTGTACGAAGGATGCAAGCGGAAAGCCATCCTGTAGTTGCAAATTGGGCTTTAAGCTATCCTCCGATGGTCTCTCTTGCATTGGTGAGCTGAGTAGAGCCACACTGCCTTGCTTACGTTTCAAACCAAACTCTCAAAACTTGGGCTCCCGTCAAATCCCTTTGCACAAGTTACTTAGAGCGTGCATATTCAACTCTGTGGTCATTGATGATCAATATCCCAATATTCCATTCTTCTTACGTGATGATATTCATCCACTCTTTTGGTTCCATTATTTTTACAGACTTGTGTAACGAGGTGAACTGTGGCTCTGATGGCGAGTGCATGAAGGATGTGAACGGAAAGCCATCTTGCAGTTGCTTCTGGGGCAAGCCGTCTTCTGACGGGCTCTCTTGCATTGGTGAGTTGGAGGAGACCAAACACCATGTGCATGCCTTGCTTGTGTTTCAAACCATTTCCTTAGAGCTTGGCCTCCCGTCAACTCTCTTTGCACGAGTTACTAAAGTGTGTGCATGTGATGCTATGTTTCCATTTGCCTGCGTCCCATTGCATGCAGACACCTGTGCTACGGTGAGGTGCGAAATCTTCGCGATGTGCACGCCGAATAAGAATGGCGATCCAAGTTGCATCTGTGAATTCGGCTACAAGGATGGTCGTTGCAGTGGTGAGTTGTTGCAGTAATCTTAACAATGAGACTGTTCAGGTAACTCAAAATTTAGTCCCACTGGTGTTGACCCTTGAAGTGCCCTAAGGCCCTGTTCTGTACGACATTTCCGGTGGAATTAGGAATGTGGGCATCACCTTCCTGATTCCGTTTGCAGGGGTTCTAGGCCAGTCAACCCCCCAAAAAACTACTAAGCCTTGACGATTCCGTCTGAACCAAACTGAGTCTGGGGCATGTCGAGCACACTCGTTTTGGAGCATGTTTTGGGGGAAATTACGGAAAAACGAAGCCTCCTGGCAAAAAATAATTCCCGCTAGAAGAATGTCCGTTGTCATTCTTCACAGGGAATTTCCAAGGGATGGCAGCGGGATTCCGGATGAGGGTCATCTGCTTGTGCTTCTCATAAGGACCATTAGCTAGTTCGTTTACCCTGAAGGCGTGTATAGCTGTCCAGGAAAATAGTTGCACGTCCAAAAAATCCATCCAACTAGTACTCACGACAAGCCCAATTAACCCTTTTTGCGATTTAATTGCCCGTGGTATCCCAATCTTTTGCAAAGTACAAAAAAAATCCCTAGACCAGGGAGAGGTGGCTAGCAAGAAATTACGACCTGGGCGATCCCGTCCCAACTTGTGCGGATGGTTCGTCGCTGGGTTCGATTTTCCGTGTCCACCCCAATGCCGTTGATTAGGGTGGCCCTAGCAAACAGGGCCTAAGAGTTGCTTCTACCGGTAGATGCCTCCAGGCAATCTATTTTGCTTTGGTGAGTTGCACTCATTACGCCTAGAGGGTGGAAAGTTGTTATACATGTTTGCCTTGTCATGGTTGAGTTATTATCTTGCACGTTCTTGAGAAGCATGTTTCACCTCAAATCCTTAATATCAAAATTCTCATATTTGCAACCCCTGCTGTCAAGCCTCTATCGTGCATGTTCCAACCTCTATTACTCTCTTGTTTTCAAATAACATGTTCCACCTATCTTTCCTTCCCCTTTCCTCTTCTTCCACCCCATCCTCATCTCGTGTATGTGCGTAGTTCCGGACTATTTGCTGTAAGCCTAGGAAGGAAGCCTTGACCTCAACTTTGAAAAGAAATATGCTGGGCAATGTCAGGAGAAGATTCCAAGCGATTTCATTGAAGGGATACAAAACTGAAAATTGCAAGACAATATATAGGCGACTCAAATTCTGATTTTGCCCTCATGTCGCGCACAATTTCAAGTAGAGTTGTACGCATATCAATTTCTAATTACAGCCATATTCACACCGAACGTGCAAGGAGTTTGAGCACACACTTCTGTATTTCTTCCAGGCCCTCAGATATCATCGTAAAACACGCTGATTACGCTGATTTTGTAGCTCAGATTTTCGTTTTCCCTGAGAATTCAGGATATGCTTCAAATTTGCACTGAAATTTCAGCATAACATACCTTGCCACACTGACCATTTTCCGTGTTGCTGTACAAGTAACACTGACGAATCAGTGTAGTGTCGTGAGTCACACTGAAACGGACTAGACCGATTCAGGGTGGTACGCGTGTGTACAGTCTGTACCTGGCCCGGGATTCACGAGATCTCACTAGGTTGTACCTGGCCCGGGATTCGCGAGACCTCACTCACACACTTAATGATGCATGCGCTGCACAGATCGCGTGCCGGCGTGTTCTGCATCGCTGGAAGGAGCTCTCACAGCGACAAATTTTGAACGGGAAATTCAACTTTTCTTTTGTACACTGATGGTTCAGTTTACTTAT